TAACTATTTTTAAATAATTTTTGAATCTCAGCGCCAGCATCGCATCACAAGAGTAAAGTATTAGTTTGCTGGCAGTTCCAGCCGACTCCTGGGTTTCTTTTAGTAGTTCTACAATAGTTTCTACGCTTTAGGTTGGTCCCATCGCGGGTGCTGGCCATTAACTATTTTTAAATAATTTTTGAATCTCAGCGCCAGCATCGCATCACAAGAGTAAAGTATTAGTTTGCTGGTAGTTCCAGCCGACTTCTGGGTTTCTTTTAGTAGTTCTACAGTAGTACCAACGCTTTAGGTTGGTCCCGTCACGGGTGCTGACCTTTAACTATTTTTAAATAATTTTTGAAACTTACAGTCAGCACCGCACCACAAGAGTAAAGTATGAGTCTGCTGCCAGTTCCAGCCGACTTCTGGGCTTCCTTTAGTAGTTCTACAATAGTTCCAACGCTTTAGGTTGGTCCCGTCGGGGGTGCTGGTCATTAACTATTTTTAAATAATTTTTGAAGCTTACAGCCAGCATCGCACCACAAGAGTAAAGTATGAGTCTGCTGGCAGTTCCAGCCGACTTCTGGGCTTCTTTTAGTAGTTCTACAATAGTTCCAACGCTTTAGGTTGGTCCCGTCGCGGGTGCCGGCCTTTAACTATTTTTAAATAATTTACTCTTGTGATGCGGTGCTGGCGCTGAGATTAAAAAATCATTTAAAAATAGTTAAAGGCGAGCACCCGTGACGGGACCAACCTAGAGCGTTGGAACTATTGTAGAACTACTAAAGGAAACCCAGAAGTCGGCTAGAACTGGCAGCAGACTCATACTTTACTCTTGTGGTGCGGTGCTGACTGTAAGTTTCAAAAATTATTTAAAAATAGTTAAAGGTCAGCACCCGTGACGGGACCAACCTAAAGCGTTGGTACTACTGTAGAACTACTAAAAGAAACCCAGAACTCGGCTGGAACTACCAGCAAACTAATACTTTACTCTTGTGGTGCGGTGCTGGCGCTGAGATTCAAAAATTATTTAAAAATAGTTAATGGCCAGCACCCGCGACGGGACCAACCTAGAGCGTTGGAACTATTGTAGAACTACTAAAGGAAACCCAGAAGTCGGCTGGAACTGGCAGCAGACTCATACTTTACTCTTGTGGTGCGGTGCTGACTGTAAGTTTCAAAAATTATTTAAAAATAGTTAAAGGTCAGTACCCGTGACGGGACCAACCTAAAGCGTTGGTACTACTGTAGAACTACTAAAAGAAACCCAGAAGTCGGCTGGAACTACCAGCAAACTTATACTTTACTCTTGTGATGCGGTGCTGGCCCTGAGATTCAAAAATTATTTAAAAATAGTTAATGGCCAGCACCCGCGATGGGACCAACCTAAAGCGTTGGAACTATTGTAGAACTACTAAAACAAACCCAGAAGTCTGCTGGAACTGCCAGCAAACTGATATTTTACTCTTGTGGTGCGGTGCTGGCGCTGAGTTTCAAAAATTATTTAAAATTGGTTAGAAGCCAGAACTATTCCTAAAACATATCAGGAACTATTAAACTATTCTAGAACTATAAAATTTCGTGCTTGAAAAGGATTTTTTTGGAAGTTGCGATGCTACGGGAAATTAGCACCTCATATTTTCAATTTGCCATTTTGTTAACTAATTCGGCGGAAGTATTGGTATAACCTATCAGGAACTGTAGAACTATTGTGGGTGCCAATGGAACTATCGCTAAAACTTGCGGTGCTAGAAAATGAGGTGCCAACTTCACACCGGCAACAAGCATCGTGTGCCGCTGGCTTTACACACATGCGTGCAATAAGTGCGTAACTCGATGCTACAGATGACGCGTCACGATTAGACACAACCGTCCGCTACCAGCTGCGTGATTTCGCGCGTCTCAGAAAGTAAATAATTTCAACGCCGCGAAATGCGAGCGACGAATGTCGTTTCGGGGCATGGACGTGCCATAAGGCCTTGTCGTCGCTCCCGACGACGAAGCGAATAAACGTTCGTCTAACGAGCAGTTATCGATGCCAAGATATTTCTGTCCTCTGCATAAATACCCCCGAGAAAATATTCTTGGCCTTTATCGCGCGTTTGAGCGTTCATCGCGCCACTCGAGTGTCACTCAGTTTATTTGAGAAAGATGCGCGCATTCCTTCCGGTGAACGAAAATGCACAATTAATTCGTATAAATCAACACGATGAATATAATCTAAATAGTTCCTGCACAGCTCGATTTTCACAAAGGATTTTCACGAGAGATTTTATGTGTTTGTTGTGTGATGTAGTTGTAATCACAATAACACCTCAAAGTGATGGGCAAGGTATATAGAAAACTTTGAGAAATAAAATCCCTCCTAGTATATTAGCAAAGAGCAACTATTAACATTTCGTTATACTACGACAATCAAATAGTTACTAGTTAATTGCGTTTGCTCGATAATATAATAATAACAATATAACGTAATAACATAAAATTTTAAATCAAGCATCTCAGTAATATGTAGATTATTACTTTTTTACCTCTACTTTGTTACTGCTAATATATTTTTATAAATATTGATGTTTTCGAATAATTGCACCTTATGGGCTGTAATTTAATTTCTCATTTGTTCTATTCGTTCCATTGTTTAGCAACGATTGTAACTACGATGAGTCATCGTCGTTCAATGACACACGCGCTGTCATATTTTATTTACGTTCCTCAAAATACATCATACTTAGTATCATATATCGTATCATAGAATAACTAAAAATGTTTAACAAAATTATCTCCAAGGAGGACATGTTTTGTCCATTTAATTGCTTCGTGCTCCAAATTAATTTGTAAATCGTGCATATGGTGTAATTCATAGCATAAACCGATCGACGAGTGATCGATTCGAGTACCAAGTATTGCAAGTTAAAATTTTGCCATCATGTGTGACATCAATTCGCGCAAAACGCAAAGCTGTCTGTCGGCGCTTTGATTAATCCCGTCGCAACCTCAACCGACTGTTACAACCGACTCGCTACGGTACTTGGGTCTCTTGTCTCAAATCGATGAGAGAGACAGATTAGAGACTAGGATTAAAAAGAAGTTAAAAAAAAAAATGTGTTTACGAGACGTGGATAGCAGCGTCAGTCAAGTCAGGTTACGGTTAAGCAGAACGGATATATCGAGAGGCGCAGGGCGTGGTTTGTGTCGGACAACGTGTGACGGGTTGATGACGCATGGCGCCGCACGCGCGGCAATTCGCATGGCACAGTGAAGATTTGTGCGAAAGGCACAACGTAACAGTGACGGTCACAACGTTGTCGTAGTCATTATTGCTGCCGATGCGAATGTGGCAGCAGTGTGATTCGATCGAATTCGACGGTCGACGACAGCGAGATTCGACCAAGTCGAAACAACCGACGCAACGGCTTATGACATTTTACTCAAGGCGTAAGAACGCGATGCACAGAACAACGACCACGTTGTGTATCATCGCGACGGCCCGTACGTCGTAATATATGATGCGTCCGTCACCACGTTGGTCGGGGGAAAAAAAGGACGATCAACAGAATACTGACCTCAGTGTCTAGCTTCCCTTTGGACGCCATCTTGACAACAAGCCGGTGGCGCTGAGACTCGACCGACTACCTGCTCGCCTCCTGCTACTCCCAAACTATCTGCTGCACGCGTATCGCGCGTGCTTCTCACGCTAGGTTGTCCCTGATGCTGATGCTGATCTCCCACACTGAACACTGTGTACTATTAATCCGTCCGTTTATCCTTTCGTTCGTTTGCGCGTGGCATACGCGCCAACTGATCGCGCGCAGCTCACTGACTTTCGCGTACCGACCGAAATGCGCCGCGCGCGCGCGAGCTCCGACACGAATGTTGGCCTTACTGTATGAGAGAGAGAAGAGAGGAGAGCGAAAGGCAAGGAAACGGCGATAGCTCGACGGTTAAGAAAGGAGGGAGAAAAACAGGTGGGGCGAAAGAGAGAGCGAGATACACGCATACGTCCGCACACTTCGATGTCCGCACTTGTCCGCAGTATGCGATACGATTTTTCGCATCTCACATAAATCTCACATAGAGATACGTACGAGCCTCAATGAGAACAGCAGAATGGAAAATATAGTGACGTCAGAACGAAGAGAAAATGACTATAAAGATTCACCTTACGGTCATAATACAGTCATTTTCTCTCACTTTGATATTATTATGATTTTTTGTTTTACCTTGGGGAACGCGATGGTATCGTACGTATACGAGATCTTGTTTAAAATCTCTTTCACTCTCGACATACAGTGATAGAAGTAGAAAGTTAACGAATTCTTCGACGCGCACGAACTCAGTCTTTCCACTCGATACCCGCCATATTATAGTACCGCGCTACATATTCACACTTGGTCTGAACTAGTGTACTCTGGTTTTCGAAACTTAAAGAGGGACAGACAGTAGCAGTAGCAGAAAGGGAAAGAGAAAAATAGTACAGGGAGTGTAGTGAAAAAAAAACAAACTGTCTCGTTTCTACCAATGATGTTTAAAAATTTAGTCGCTAGTAACATTCGGTTAAGGAGAGTTAAATTTGCTTGGTTTCTACTCTAAACCGAGGTAGAACAAAAAATCATAATAATATAATTATGATATAAAAAAAAAGTCATTTTAAGACAAATCAAAATGATGTCATTCGATATAGTTTTCGTGATGGTTTGGTGATGTTTTCTTGATATTGAAATGATGTTGTGGTGACTTTTAGAACTGTACATTAAAATAGAAAGTCACAATAACATCAAAGTGACGTCAAAATGACGTCAAAATGACAAGAAAATGATCTAATCATGATTACAAATTGAATTTTTATAGTCTTTTGTTACTCATTTTGAAGTCATTGTGATTTTTTGTTTAAATGATAATATAGCTTATACCCATACATATACAGGGTGTTTACGATAAATCGAGTTAGAATTAATTCCACTAAGACTGAAAGATATAATATGCATGACCATCTACTATCTTCATGATTTATGACAACTCAGGGCTGTCCGATAAATCGAATAAAGTAGAATAGAATAGGCTAACCTAGCAGTGTTCGTACGAGACAGTCAACAATATTTTATCAGGTAATAAAGTTTTGTAAAATATGAAATAATTATATTAGGAAACAGAAATTATTAAATTTTAAGAAAATTATAAATATTAATTACAAGTATTAGGTTGAATTTACAATTGTAAAAGTATCATTTATGAAATTTATGAAATATCCGAAAATAGGAAATTCAATTATTCTAACCTAATTATAAACATTCATTTTACATAAATATAATGTAACTGCTCGTATCAACTTCTAATTATAAAATGAAATATATTAAAAATAATAGTAAATATTAAAAGTTACGTTATTATAATGAAATTGAATTAAGTTTCTATCAATAGTATTATTTCAAACTTTAATATAAGATATTAATTTATATCTTATAAACTAATTTTCACAACATTTTATTAACAAGTTTAACATAACAGTATAAAGTCATCTTTTATTGAATAGTGTTATATACTAGGTGCTATGAGACAAATAAAACAGATACATTTGTATTGAATATTGCGTTAACTAATTCTGAAATGATTAAATCGTTTTCTAATCATTATAGAGTGACATAATGATTGCAATATAACTATTCTTTCCAGTTTATAATAACTGTTGCTAATAAATTATATATCTAATAAATAATATACTTAAGTAATTATATATCTTAAGTATAGAATCATATTATTAGACTGCAATCTGTAAAACACTCGCAGTACTAAAACAGTTATTCTATCTTTATTGTTCATTAAATGTACAACAAGAATAAAAAGAAGCTTTTAGCGTTGTGAATATTTTTTTTACTATAACTAAACTATTTCTTAATCATTTGTGATCAACATTATAGTACTTAAAATATTTATGTTTTTAAATATGTATTAAGAGAATGTTATCTATATTATTCTCCTTATACTTTAATGTCTAAAGCTGTAATTGTACTAGCAATTACTGATTGACAATTGAAGATTGAAGATTATATTTTGATTAAATTAACGAACTTTGCGTTCTTTATTATATTTATCTAGGTTCCAATTATCTAGGTCATCATTAATTTGCAATCATCAATCAGTAATCGCTAATATAATTACGACTTAATGATTAAACATTTTCAGACAAGAAATGGATATACAAGGAATATGGGACTTGTTTATTGATCTATTGGATGAGGATGATGATATTGACTACCTTCCACCTGAATGTCAGTTTCATCCTAAGATTCCAGATTTTGTTGAATAAACTGTCGTATTTACATAAATATTCTTTCACTGGTAAGAGACTTGGAAGTTTTGCTTTATTACATTTTACTTTTATAACTTTTTGCGAGTATTTTTTCTTATATGTATTATAATGTATAACATTGTTTTATCAGATTTCAAATCACATTTTCGACTAGAAAAACATACTTCTGAAAGATTAATACAAGACTTTGGACCTCGTTTGTACCGTGAGCATGGTGCTGCAAAAATGTCTCCTCCTAAACAAATAGTTATTACGTTATGGTGTCTCAGTAATCAAGAAGTTTACAGGTTAGTATGTTTCATTGTTATACGAAAAACATTTGTCAATCTGTTTGATGAAACTACTTTCTTACTTATTTCTCGTTTCAATTTAGTTTCCAACAAAAATTTTTAAGAAGAAAAATATTATAGTAGTTTTCAGTTGCTTTTCAGTAAAATTATCATATTTACATAATACGATTTGAATTTTTAATTGAAACTGGGAATGTATCTATTGCCATATGTTTGTATAGCTAACTTGTATTTATTTTTTTTATATATGATGCAAAAACATGTTTAAGGCATGTTAAAATGTTTAAGGCATTTTTAAATCTTATGATGACATGATTACTTCTTAACTAAGGCCAGTTTAAATTGCATTATATGCATTCTAGCATAGCTAGAAAATGTTAAAATTGTTCTGATATTATTTATCTGTCAGATTTAATAATCAGAAGTAATTTATATGTGTATGATTTCTGTGTAGTATTAATAAAAGTATATTTTTAATAAAAATTTAAATTAAAAAAATCCCAAATAGCTAAATTTCCGCAAATAAATTTTGAGCCTACTACAAATTTTTGATAGAAAGACAACAAAACTGATACAAGATTTGTTCTTTTATTATGTTGTTAAATTGCTGGCAAAAATATGACAATCAGTTGACAGACAGTCCGAGCAGGTTTGTGACAATAACTGAACATATTTTGCTGCGCTGCAAAATTTGTGCGTTTTTGCTGCTTATTTGCTCAAATTAGCAAATTAGCCTGTCAGCAAGTTTTGTTTCATTTGATTATATTGATAACAGTTTGACATCATAATGAGATATCAAAGATTCTATATCAGATTTTTTGCCTTTCTGCTATTAAACATTTACAACAGCCTCTGCTCAAAATTTATTAAGCAGCTTTGGCTATGTGGATATATATATATATATATATATACAGGTTATAAAAGTCCCGGAAGAGCAGAATAATTCGAAAAATATGAGTCCTAGAAAAAATGCGAAGTACTGAGTTTTTATGATTTTTTCCTGGCTATCTGACGGTGACCTTGGATTTGATCTTGACAATGACCTTGAAGGTCATTTCAAAGTCAGGTCAATTTTTTTAAATGGAACTTCATGCTTTTGACTCCAGAAATGAAAAGAGCAGAAAATTTTACGTTCGGATATGACCTTGAACATTGCCAAATTTGACCTCTGAAGGTCACATAAAGATCTAAGCTTGTTTTGGGCTGAAAACGCGAATATCTTCGAAAATGCACCTGCTAAGGAGCAATGTTACGTATAAGAATAAGAATGTAGAGGTCAACGAGGGACATTCAGCCGTGACCTTGCCCTTATTCTCAAGGTCACGAGTTAAGATTATTATTAAGATCAAACAGGACTTTTTTAGGATTGAAAATCCATACTTTTGACCTAAAAGTGTCAAAATTGAAAAATTTTACGTTCGGATATGACGTTTTCAACCTTGACCTTGTTCTCAAAATTATGCGTTTTACGTTACTTCACTGATCGTGAAGTCTACTGAAAGTAAAGCGTCTCGGAACCCGACCACTGAAGGCAAGGTGTCTCAAACCCGACCACTGAAGGCAAGGTTCAGTTAATCCCGGCCACCGAAGGCAAAGCATCTAGTAACTCGGCCTGAGATTACAAGAGATGTTCAAAATGTTCCCCATTGACTGTTTGACAGTGTGCTAAGCGGACGCACAAATTGTCAGTCGCACTCCTTATCATTTCTGGAGGTATTGCAGCACATTCGTCTATGATCCGTTGTTGAAGCTCATCCAGGTTACGAGGTTTAGTGAAATAAACTTTATTTTTTATGTAGCCCCAAAGAAAGAAATCAAGTGGTGCAATGTCGGGCGATCTCGGTGGCCATTCGATTGTTCCTCTTCTACTTATCCATCGATTAGGGAAAGTATCGTTTAAATCAGTGCCCGGAATTACTTGCACGATCGGGCCGATTTCTGACAGCTACGCCTCCTTACTTCCCCTTACCGCTCCAGCCCGCACGGCGGACCTAGAAACTGACAGTCGCGAGGCGCTGTCTCAGGCACGTCACATGAGACAGTCACATGAGACGCTTCATAGTTTAACATAGCTGAAATTAATTTATTTATTAAAACAACTCCATAGGCATTTTTTATAGTTTACTAATATAATATAGTCTTAATATTGATATAAATATATATTAATAGAAATATTAATATAAGTAATATTCTTAATATAACTATAATATACACTGTATACACTGTAATATTCTTAATATAACTATAATATACAGTGTATATTATAGTTATATTAAGAATATTACTTATATTAATATTTCTATTAATATATATTTATATTAATATTAAGACTATATTATATTAGTAAACTATAAAAAATGCCTATGGAGTTGTTTTAATAAATAAATTAATTTCAGCTATGTTAAACTGTGAAGCGTCTCATGTGACTGTCTCATGTGACGTGCCTGAGACAGCGCCTCGCGACTGTCAGTTTCTATGTCCGCCGTGCGGGCTGGAGCGGTAAGGGGAAGTAAGGAGGCGTAGCTCTCAGAAATCGGCCCGATCGTGCAAGTAATTCCGGGCACTGGTTTAAATAGTTCCGAACAATGCGTCCATAATGTGGCGGTGCCCCATCTTGCTGGAACCAAACATCACCAAATTATCACCAACAATCTTCTGTATTGATGAAACAATTTGGTCTGTTAGAAGCTGCAGATAGGTTTCTGAGTTCAAATTCCCATTTATAAAAAAAGGTCCAACCACTTGATTATCATAAAGACCTGCCCAAGCATTCAATTTTTGAGGTCGCTGCGTATGTGCTTCAAGGATCCAATGAGGATTTTCGTTGTCCCAATATCTAAAATTATGACGGTTTACCTTACCAGTAATTTCAAAAGACGCTTCGTCTGAAAAAACGATATTATGCAAAAAGTTCGTTTGCTGATCAATTCTTTGCATCATAACTTCTGAAAATTGCACCCTGCGGTCAAAATCATCCTCATTCAACTCATGGTGGAGATGAATTTTGTAGGGGTGGAACTTAATGGTCTTTAGATTTTTGGAAATTGACAATACACTCATTTGAAGCTGTTGAGATGCTTTCCTAATTGACAATCTGGGATTTTCAACAAATGATTGGGCTACTTCAAATTGTCGCTCTTCTGTTTGGGACCTTGGCCTCCCAGATTTCTGGCGGTTTTTATTACTCCCAATTTCTACAAATCGTCTGATGGTGCGAGATACAGTCGATATTGAAATACCTTCGCCTTCATTACGAAAATTTTCATTAAACAGCAATCTCACTTCACTGTATGACCTTTGTCTATCCCCCCATCCTCTCATCATCAATAGCGAAACTCTCATGTTCTGTAAGAGAAGCCATTTGGAATTGAAAACAAAAAATTTGCAAAAATTTGGTATAAAAAATTCGGTTTCTTTACCTTTAAATAAAAATAATAAGTAATGTACCATTGATAATAATATGATAATAATTCAAAACGGACTAGAATGACATCAAAACTTGTTAAATCGGTGAAAACTCAAAAACAATCTATTATCTATTATCAAAACAATCTATTATCGGTTTGACACTGATAGGATCGAGACAAATAAAAACCTTGAAGCATACACTTTATCGATGGGGAATAAATTTTTCGGATACCGATCCTGGGATTTTTGAGCTCGTTAAAACCGAATCCGACGTCGGATTTTGCAAATTCAAGATGGCCGATTCAAGATAGCGATCGATATTTAAGAATAACAAAAATTGGATCTCGTTTAAGGAGTTTTTGAAGTCGTTTCTGAAATCGAATCCGACGTTGGATTTTACAAATTCAAGATGACCGATCCAAAATGGCGCCCAATATTGAGGAATTACCAACAATCGTAGTGTGACCTCGTACGTAACGTAAAATCTCACTCTTCACATTATGGGGGGATAAAAGTGGTGGATCCCCCTTCGGCGCGTTGCAAAAACGTGCCCAAGCGCCCGGGGGCAGCCAAAATATGGTGTCGACCCCGGGGCTTATTTCTATTATTTGCACCGGATAAGGAGGGGCAACGGTGGAGGCGGGCATACATGGACAGCAGGTCTTAAAGTATAGCAACCTTTGACTTTAAGAGACCACCTTGTACCGCTAGGTACAAGTAAACAAAGCCTCTCTCTGTAGTCGCCGTGCGCTCGGGATAGCACTAGAGATGTCGCTTCCGAACGACATCTCTCAACGTTATTTGGGGAGAGGAGAGTGTCGTGAGCGTGGAGCGTCAGATAGCTCAGTGGTCTAGAGCAGTCGCCCGGCAAGCGAAAGACCCGGGTTCGATTCCCGGTCTAGCGACTACCGCGCTCTCGATATTTTTCTCTCCTCGGAACGAAAAATGAGATGCAGGTCCCGAACGCACGGCGTCCCGTCGCCACCTAGTACGTCCTCCTTCTTTCATGGTTTCCAGCCTAAAAAATTTAATTGACCTTGATATGACTGACACATAAAGAACAAGGTTGAAAACGTCATATCCGAACGTAAAATTTTTCAATCTTGACACTTTTAGGCCAAAAGTATGGATTTTCAGTCCTAAAAAAGTCCGGTTTGTCGTTAATAATAATCTTAACTCATGACCTTGAGAATAAGGGCAAGGTCACGGCTGAATGTCCCTCGTTGACCTCTACATTCTTATTCTTATGCGTAACATTGCTCCCTGGCAGGTGCATTTTCGAAAATATTCGCGTTTTCAGCCTAAAACAAGCTTAGACCTCTATGTGACCTTCAGAGGTCAAATTTGGTAATATTCAAGGTCATATCCGAACGTAAAATTTTCTGTTTTTTCATTTCTGGAGTCAAAAGTATGGGGTCCCATTTAAAAAAATTGACCTGACCTTGAAATGACCTTCAAGGTCATTGTCAAGGCCAAATCCAAGGTCACCGTCAGGTAGCCAGGAAAAAACCATAAAAACCCAGTACTTCGCATTTTTTTCTAGGACCCATATTTTTCGAATTATTCTGCTCTTCCGGGACTTTTATAACACCCTGTATATGTGTGTATGTGTCAATATATACAATTTCTGTTTCAGATCAGTAGTAGATAGATTTGGAATAACCAAAGATACCGTTTGGAAAACTATTTTTGAAGTTATGACGCTGCTCACTGCAGATGTTCATAGATATATTAAATGGCCTGATCCTCATGTAGTGGTAAACTTTGAACAAGAATTTCGTGAATTAAATGGTTTCCCTGAGGTATTTGGAGCAATTGACTCTCACATAGCTATAAGCGTACCTAGTCAAAATTCGGATAGCTATATTAACCGCAAAGGTTATTACCCGATAGTACTACAAAGAATTTGTGACTATAAATTAAGATTCATACATGTGTTTATAGGTACGTGTGGTAGTGTTCATGACGCCAGAGTCTGGCGTTTAAGTGACATTAAACAATTAATAACACATGATGAATATAGATACTTCCAAAATAAATATTATCTTTTAGGTGATTCAGCATATCCTTTATTGAAGTATACAGGGTCATCGAAAAGTATCGGATCCCCCTAATATCTTCAGTTAGAATGCATTTTGGAGAAAATGTCCAATAGCATTTTCTTTTTTGGTAACGCAGGGGAAATCCATTATGGATACCCCCGACCCTTCAGGGTGTCGGGGGTTATGTCGAACTCCTACCGACTAAAATCCCTGCGGGATGCCTACCTGTCGGACCGGAAATGTGGAGAGTCAGGGGAACTACTCCCGTATTCCCTCCCCGACACCCCGACCCCAGGTCTCTTTTTCGGGAGCCCCTCGCAATCTGTTACCGCGCCCTGTTCTGCAAAGGGAACACGCCCGAGTTGCAGCGAGCGGGTCGCCGGTAATCCCCCGCGAGTGCCATTTCGCACATTGAAATTTATGCGGCCGGCGCCGCCCTGCTCCCCGGCGACGCAACATGGTAGAGACGGTGGCGGTTTCGTGTTCTCTCCCCGATGGAGAGGAAGCGTGAAAAAAAAAGAAAATCCAGGGCGCGGTCCTGGTCGGTCTAAGGCCGACCGGTTGGCCTTATGGTTTCACCTATAGGGTAAGGGGGCATCCGCCCTCATCTTTTACCCCCACTCCCCGTTAGTCAGGGAGGTAGGGTTTCTGAGGGAGTGGGCCCGTCCCCAAACGGGACACCTCCACCTGTCCCTACTTGTCCGCGGCAGGGGGATCCATCTTCTATGAAGAAGAGCCGGATCCCTCCTGCCGACGGAGACGGGCCCGAGGCGGCCGAGGAGGGCCTGGAACCCTGCTATTCAGGGGTCCTTCCTCTTCCTCAGCCGGTGTCACCTCGGCCCGCTTCCTAAATCTCCCCCCCTGAGTCGCCGACTACCCTGTCGCCTCCTGCGACGGGGTTCGTGCGGTCGGCGCTCCCTCTCGGCAGCCTCCTTCTTGGACATTACGTCCCTACAGAAGGAGGTCGCCGCTTCCCAACCCTCCTCGCTCCCGCACATGGATTGAACCATGCGGGGGGGGGCGAGATGTCCCCCATTGGGCACCCCATCGCCCCGGCCAGGACCCGGCGCTCCCCTTCCCAGACTGGACAAGCAGCCAGCGTGTGGAGCGCCGTGTCCATGAGCACGGGGCAGTGGTGGCACCTAGTGGTGAGCTCCTTCTTTATCCGGTGCAGGTACTTACCGAAGCACCCCGTCAGTACCTGCACCAGATAGTAGGATAGTTCGGATCCCCTCCTGCCCGCCAACTCTGGCAGGCAAGGGCGGACAGCCTCCGCCGTCTCGCGCCCGTACCCCCGTGGGTCGGACAACTTGTCCGCCCACATCTCCTGGGTACGGGCCACGGCTTGGGTTCGTAAGGCCCGCAGGTCCCCGGCCGTAAGCTCCCCCTCCTCGCGGAGCTCCTTTACCCTCCAATAAAGGATGCGCCGCTCCTCGGCGAGGAGCTCCACGGGAGGGGAGCCGGCCAGGGTGATCGCCGCCATGTACGATATTGTGCGGTACCTGATCGCCCTTATGTACATTGGCCTCAGCGCCTGCCGCATTCGGCATAGGCCATCGCGGCAGGCGCTGAGCTGGGGCGCCCATATTGGCGCCCCGTACAGGGCGATCGACAGCACCGCACTCACGTACAGGTGGCGAGCCCTCCAGCCTGGACCACCCAGGTTGCGCAGAAGGCTGGCAACCGCCAGCCCGGCTCCACGCACCCTGGGGGCCAGCTGCCTAAAATGTGGGCCGAAATCCCACCGGCTGTCCAACGTCAGGCCGAGATACTTGATCGTCGGCCCGACGCGGATGCGGACGCCATCGACTAGGACCAGTGTCTCAGGTGGCGCCCCTCGACTGTCGTCGTGAAAAAACACGGCTTCAGTCTTCTGGGGCGCCACCTTCAGACCCAGGTCCCCGATGGTTCTCACTACCGATGCCACCGCCGTTTCCGCGCAGAAGCGGGCTTCTCCCCAGCTTCTCTCCCCGGCCGCCACTAAAGTGTCCTCCACGTAACAGACGACGTGGGAGCCTGGGGGGAGCGGAGTACGCAGCACCCGGTCGAACACGATGTTCCACAGCAGGGGGCCGAGAACCGACTCCTGCGGAATACCGCGCTCCATCGCGCGTCGGCCATCGACCCCGCCTTCCTTTGGGAAGGCAAGGTTAAATGTCCAATAGCAGTATTGTATGGTTTCAAGCGGGGAGTAAGATGATGACCTTGACTTTGACCTTGACCATGCCCTTCAAGGTCATTTCAAGGTCAACCATACTTTTTTAAATGGAACCCCCAAAATTTTATTGCATATTCTTATAGCTTATCTCGAGAGCTTTCCAAAACACTATAATAAAACATTTTTTCATTAAGTACTTTTTGAGTTATAAAGGTTTGAAGTTAACAATTTTTTTACACAAAATGTAAAATATCTTGTAAAATATTATTTAGCTTTCAGTAATCATAATCATAATACTTTTGTGCGCGAAATAATGAGACCAATTAATTGGTTTAAAGAAAATACATTAGTCGAAAAGTATCGGCTCGCCCTAATATTTTTAGTAAGAATGCATTTTGGAAAAATGTCCAATAGCAAAGTTGTACGGCTTCAAGCGGTTATGCTAGTAGGCTATGGCGGAAAACTGCCCGAAGGTGATCGCGAGAAGCTGCTCGAATGCGTGATGTCCGAAGGCGTTAGCGGGAATCTGCCCGAAAGCGTTGGCGGGACCGATCTTTATTGTCTCACTCTCGCAGGCACCAATAGTAATACAAGCTCTTGAGCAAACGCGGATCACTGATTTGAATCTTTGATGCAGTGCTGTCTTCTTAGCGAGCAGCAGTCACCTCGTGGACGAAAACGAACAGCCCAAAAATTATTTCTGTAACAAAAAAAGCCATTGCGCTTCAATTGATTGTCCCAAACATCTTCATTTTGTTTCCAATAGCCCAGAACTTTTTCGTAAATATTATTAATTGATCTATTAGATTTTCAGTTGCTCAACAAGCTTTTTGCTAGTGTTGGTTGAAATAAACAAATCGATAGTTGGACCAACACTTAATAATTAGTATTTTTCTCTACTTAATTATTTATATCAATTTCCTATCACTTACCTGATTAATTCTTCTTTGCCCTAATTAAGAATGGTGCAGCTTTCTGAAAGAGATCGAATAACACTGTTAATGATGCGAGGATGGGGAGATCAACAAAGAGAGTATAAAACAGTAACGCGATTATTTAATGAAAATTTTCGGAATGAAAATAATAGGATCTCCAAAAGTACTGTAATCCGTACTATTCAACGTTTCGAGGACATTGGTAGCGTTAAAAGCCGCCTAAGATCTGGTAGACGTAAAACAGCAACAAATAATGATAAGGCATTAGATGTTTTACAGTCTTTCGTTGAAAGTCCCCACGATTTTGATAGACGTATCGAATTTTGTGATCTTATGATGGAGATGATCGACGATCCTTTATTACTTAATAATATTGTTTTCTCTGATGAGACAACATTTGAACTGACTGGAAATGTAAATAGACACAATTGTAGATACTGGAGTGACGTTAATCCTCACTGGAAGAGACAATCACATCCAATATTCACAAAAAGTTAACGTATGGGCTGGTATTCTTAATGGTAGACCAGTTGGCCCTTTCTTTATTGAAGGCAAGTTGACAGCACAAGTATACAGTCATGCTTCGCGAACAAATTGTTCCAGCTATTCGAGACATAGCTGGTGGAAATATGGATGAAATTTATTTCCAACAGGATGGAGCTCCACCTCATTATGTCATTGTCCGTCAATATTTGAATGAGGTCTTTCAGAACAGATGGATAGGGCGAAGGGGTTATATTGAGTGGCCACCTCGGTCTCCGGACTTGACCCCACTTGACTTTTCGTGGGGTTACTTGAAAAGTAAAGTTTATGCCACCAAGATTTAGATGATTTAACCCGTTTCGGACGAAAACGCCACTCTCGGTACACCGCTCTTTAGCGGCTCATAACTAATACTATTGTGTCTGAAAAATTCGAGAGGTACATATTTTTATAGTTTAAGATGTGCCCTTTTTGATAGTGTCCATAAAATTTCTCCAAAAAATTGTAAATTATGGAAAAAAACAGTTTAAAACAAAAAAAAACATGATTTTTTCGTACTTTTTTTTTTTAATCGAATTTTCAAAGGGTTTCCTGTCTGCAATGACCCTAGAACCCCACTAAACGGTGGAATAAACGTTTAAACTTTAATATGTGGTTTGGAAATCGATTTTACTCCTTAATGTATTCAAAATGGCGCCTAAACTGCAAAATTATCGTGAAAACATTCATGAATTTTTTATTGAAAAATGATGCATTTTTACGAAAAATTGTCAAGAATAAAAAGTTCTTAAAATCACTCAAAAAATGCACTCGAATTTTTTGAAAATATTTCGAGCAATTTTTTTGATTTTGTAAATAGTTAATTTTGCAAAATTGAAAAAATTGCTCAAAAAATTCCAAAAACTTTGGGTGCATTCTTTGGCTATTACTTATAATAACTTTTTAATCTTCATCATTTTTCTCATTAGTGAATTATTTTCAAGAGAAAAAGTCGGACTCCGACGCCTCTCGCGTTCACGTACGCGCGCTTGTGTACGTTACCTCTCCATGCTACGGCGTGCTACCAAACGGGCCAAACGTGGGATCACTGGGTTCACCTACTATATACACGGGATCAGTTGCGCGATACAAACTTAAAAAATTGTTTCTATTATTTCAAAAAGCTATATTATTTTCTATATTATAGTCTATAGCTATATTATAGTCTAAATTAAAATGTCGAAAAACTGAATAGTAAGTTGATCACGTAGAATAAAATGATTCTAATGATTTTCGCCTGCTACAGTTTTGGTATAAGTGATAGATTATACTGCTGCTGGCTAATAAAAGTTGTTTTATTGTCTATTCTATCAAATATTTAAAAGACAGTGCTGTGAGTTTTTTAATGTTTGGAAATGAAAAGAAAAATTTTTCACTTTAATTATCGTATGTTTATTTATTTTTTTTTCGTTTCTTATCATTTGATAAGATGCGATGGATTTACTGCGGAATTTCTTGTCCCTCCCATAAGA